ACTGCAGAAGTTGTGGATCAATTTGAGGGTTAAACACAGGTTTTTTTTTTTTTTTTTTTTTTGGATTAGTTAAACCAAAGAAGGAGTGTTTGGGTTTGGAAGTAGAGACTTTTAAGGACATACTTACACTGGGTTTTTGAGAAAAAAATAGTTTTTACTATAATGGGGTGTATAGTTAGTAATATTAGTTGGGATTACTCTAATTAATTTTTTTAAATCCTAAGTTTAAAAAAGTAAACTCACCATTTAATATGGTAAAAAACAAGTCTGTCATTAGAGGTTTGTCTGAGCATGACTAGTTCTCTTTTGAAGAGAAAAATGTGTAGTAAAGCCGCCACTCCCTAGGATGTAGATACTATTATTTTTATTTACGTACTAGATAACCATTGATTTTTTTTTGTGTATATCAACTGTGCTATTGATAAAAATAATGGATTTAAATATAAAAAAATTATGAAAATATAATATTTTTACTTGATGAGCAATGTTATTAGTATATAAAACTATTATTTGTTACTTGATGAGCAATGTTATTAGTATATAAAACTATTATTTGTTATTTATTGTTACTAATTAACATAAATTATTTATTGGATCTTTATTGCTATAGAATAGAGAAGAGAGGAAAAAATGCGGGTGAGGAGTTCGGCTTGGAATAGAACAAAAGGAAAATGTATGTTTTACAAAACATTTTCTAAATACGTATTTATTTTTCTAGAAAGGATGAAAATCGATGCGATGCATAAAAACAATGTTGCATGAGTTGTTAAATCAAGGAAAAGGGGTTTCAAAAAACTAAGGAAAAAGTAAAAATTTTGGCACATCAGCCATCCAAAGTCTATATTAAGGAAGTAAAATAGAAAAATAAAATTAATTCTAAATTATCATAAAAATGACACATCAGCAAGAGGGGGTGAAATAGTCGAAAAAAGTGTATAATAGACTTTTTTAAGGGGTTTTGTTTTAGTATATAGAATGATTTATTTTCTTTTTTGGTAGTTTAGTTTCAAATGTTTTGCCCATGACGCCATGCAATGGATAAACCTTGATCAATTTGCAAATTTCTGCCGCAAAATTGCTTTGTCTTTTTTGCTTGTTCACAAATTCTCATGACATAATGCTGTTTATTTTGCCCTTTTTCTCGAGGAAAACAAAGTGGCTAAAGTAAGTCTCATTCTCTTCCTTAAGAAGAAAGTCTGAATTTTAAAACTTTTTATTATTTTTAGTATTAATTTTTAAAACTCAATTTAAATTATTTTCTGTAATAAACAAAGCTAATTGTTGCTATTATTATCCAACTTTGATATTAGATTATCCCAAGGCAACACCAATTTGATGCACACCAAATCATCAATTGGTATTTTAGTAACTGCTATAGTGTTTTAAAATTCAACTATTGCACAAATTTCAAAGTCATCAATTTTTTTTGTCCTTCTTTTTTAATTAAGTTTATTAAATTACAAAAAGTTAACTCCTTTTTGTTTATATTTCGATACAACCAATATATTTGTATCTATATTACAAAAAATTATAATAAATTAAATTTGAGAAACAATATTTCATCAAACTAAAAATTAAAATAAAATTTTTTTTATACAAATAAAAAACATACAAACTTGTACTGACGTTAAAAATTAAAAAGACAAACTAAAAAACATCATTTAAAAGAAATCTAATACACATGAAATCAATTAAATCCATCAAATTTATATTTATAAATTTAACAAGTTTATAATAATATACAACAGTTATACATTAATTAATTTAAATTTTATTTTATAAATTATATAAATTAACTAAAAATAAAAACTAAAAAAATAAAAATTCAAGCACCAAATTGGTGCTCATGAACACTATGCCTTATTAGCAACCATTTGGTTACATGAACAATGCAGTCCTTGGGCTTGCACTTTGTACCTTATTTGGTGATTTGGTGTCATCCCTTGGGGATGATATTACTGTTCATGTGCACCGATTTGGTGTCATGAATAGTGCATTCATTGGGCTTGCAATTGTACCCAAATCACAAATTTGGTGATTAGAAGTTCTTCGTTTCAATTCATTTATTAAAAGTATTTTGAATTATTTTTACTTTTCTCATAAATCAACAAAATAGATTATTTTCTGAGTTTATGTAGTTAGATGATTTTTAATTGAAACAATACTATGGCCATTCTAAAAATTGCAACTGTTGTATTAGTAGAAGATTATGCAGTTAGACAAAATAATTAAAGTAAAATAGTGATTTTAGATGAAAAATTACAAACTTAACGGCAAAATTAACAACAAAAATAAAGGATGATAATATTTGCAGTGCTAAATTTAGTGCTACAACAACACTCCAATAAAAAAGAATAGTGGTGTATGCAGAAAAATTTACATAAATTTTAACAAGGAATAATGTGTTGAATCTTAACTATCTTTTAACTTTTCATTGAATAAATTCGTAAATGTAAGATTGAACAATGGACGGTTTTGATTTATTCTTGTATACTTTCTTTACAAATTTTTCCTCTTATAATCATTACTCATAAAAAAAAATAGTAATTATACTTTTGTCATGTGGTCAGATCTACCGTAGGCAATTCCCAAAAATCGTAATAAAAATTTTATTTCTTAAAAAAAAAACCCCTCTAATATTTTGTACCAAATTCTAGGCTTTCTAGCTACTTTGATGCGAAAACTCAAATGGGGGCAATGAAGTATTGAGAGGAAGAGAAATTAGTGTGGGCCAAAATATGAATACGAAGCTGAATTTTTATTATCCAAATGGGTATATTGGTATTGAAAGATTGGGCCAAGATTTTTTGCTTTAGTCGTTCTAATTTGTATCTGGGCCAAAATTTTAAAAATATTTTCTAATAATTAAGAGAACATAACAAATGTAAAACTATATTTTTAAATTTTTTTTACAATTAAAAAAATATCATAGGTGAAATCTAAAAAAAATCAAAATGTCTTATAATCCCTTTCAAGAAAAAAAAAGCCTTATAATAAAGACTGGAGGGAGTACATTACGACAGGAAGGACAAAAGAAACTGAACAAGTTTTGGATTTAATGGATGTTTCGATGGAAGGAACCGAAGAAAAAAGGGATTAAAGGGAAAAGTATTGTTAGATTTAAAGGAATCTGTCAAATATAAAAGACAAATGGAGCACTTTACTCTTCAGATAACAACTTTACTATATCAGGGGAGCAAAATGTTCCATTTCTCCAACTACTGGCTTTTCAATAAGTTCATCTATATATTATCGACACAAATTGTAGATTCTTCTTTAAATATTAGGAGATATTTGTGGTGAAAATATTAGGAGATATTTGTAGTTTTCACCTCAAATTCATTTTTACTAACATATGGCCCCCAAAAGTAGGTGAGGTTGAGGGTATTTTTCACGTGCCCAAATTATGTGACCGATTTTTCACATGCAAGGCCCATTTTGGAGGTTTGTTTTAGTTCGTGTTTTGTAATTTTCCGAAGATATATTTTGAGATTAGTTTTTAAATTTAGCCAAAAAAAAAAAGTGTTTGGACAGTTTGTTTTCTGTTTTCCCTTTTTTCCAACCTTCAAATTAGGAAAAAAAAAAAAAAATGCACCATCCAAAAACATGTCTTCGTTTACGCTACATGTTTCTGACGAATTTTCGAAACTAGAAAACAAGATCTAAGAAAACCGTCAAGCATGATTGATAATGCTAATTTTATTAATTATAACCAAGAAAAACTTATTTGATGTTAAAAACAATACTAACAAGTACCAAACACCATTTGATTCTAATTTTTTCATGTCCCCTGAATGTGGTGTAATGCATAAAGATAGAATACTTTCTTTGACTCCGTGACTTTCTCTTTGGCCTTTTTAAACCCGACGAAATTACACCATTTTGCATTTTACAAAATAATACTACCTCCGTCGACGGAGAGAGAAATAATAAAAAAAAATGGAAAGGAAATAGGAAGTCGGAGCAAATGGTATATTTTTGGGTCGTCTTCTTTCCTGGTACTATATGCCAAAGTTCATCGACCTTTCAAAAGCGTGTACAGATAATCAAACATTTTTTTGTTCTTTTTTGGTAACGAGATCATCAAAAAAATTTCGTTGCTACACATGAGAAAATTCGGAAAAATGGAAATAAATCATGGTCAACCATATTTTTTTTCTGTAATTTATGGGGAGAAAAATTCCGTCCAAACATTAATTTAGATGTTACTCCCATCACTTCACGTAAAGGAAAATTGTGACCAAATGAACTAAATAATTAATTGAACTATTTAATACAAGCTAGTCATTATCTATATATTGTCTTTCATGATTTTTTTTTTTCATTGATAGAAAGCATAAAATCCCCCTAGCTGAGTGGTGGGTTCTTATAAATGGGTATACAACGATATTGACAATGACAATGGAGATGATAGGGAAAGAATTAAAGAAGGTGGCATCTTTTCTAAATTTGATAAATCCTTTAATTAATTTGTTTTAACTTTTAAACAATACCTACGTGCCGCAACATGAAGTCAAATGGTCTGTCGTATAACATACAATCTCATGTCCCAATCTTATCGAAAATATTTTTGTTTTTCCAATTGAGAAGAATCATAAATCAAATAGTAATAATTTTTTATTTTTTTTGGTTAAAATTCGATATCGCAATGATGCGGGCTCAAACCAAATGTGATATAATAAGAGTTCCATTCATAATTCCTTAAAAATCTCTTGCACCACTTTTTTTTGGTATAAATTCCTCCTACAATATTATACTCTCTCTTGTTCTTATTATAAGACATTTTGATTTCGTCTTAAATTTAATCTAGAATGATGTTTTAATTAGAAAAAAACTTTAAAATATATATTTTCACTTTCGTTGTGTTCTCCTAATTATTCTGAAATGTTTTTAAGATTTTTATTTCAATTTAAAAGACATCCTACGTGAAACCTAAGACAAAATCAAAATGCCTTATAAGAGTATATTAATGTTATCTTTTCTTTTTCTTTTCCTTTTTTCGTTTTTGAAATATAATCCTTTTGGAAAACCAGCTTTCATCATTTGCTCCATGTCTCTACATATATTAAATCAACTGAATGAAATGAATAATGAATAACGACAGCCCTAATATCATATCATACTTCAAACTGAATTAAAGAACTTGAAAGAATGAAAATATGGATAGTAGCTAGTAAGATCCCTAATTCTCCCTTTCTAGTGATATGATTATCTTTCTAAGAACGAAAAAAAACCCTTCTAATTTAGGTTAGTAGAAAACTAAATAATAAAAGCTTGGCAATGCACTTAGATGGAAACTCTGCTCATGGTATTGCGCTGGTAAAGGTATCTCTCTGCAATGGCAGCTTCAGTTGCTGCACCAACTGGCAAGGCATCTTCGTCGATGATGAAGTTGGGAGAGTGCGGGGAAACAATGGAGCCTAAAGTCTCGTTCCTGATTCCAACGAAGAAGAATCCAGATGGAATCACTTCACTGTAGAATGAGAAATCTTCAGAACCCATCAAGGGATCCATCACATTGAAATTTTCAGGACCTAGGAGATCAACGATGGCATTTTTCGCGTGTTCATATGATTGTTCATCATTGACTGTTGGAGGGTAGATTCGATCCTCATTCTCGAAAAAATCAACTGTTGCTGAGCATCTGAATACTCTGGCTTGCTCCGAGATCACCTGTTTCAAGATCATACAAAAAATGCTGTTATTTTGTTTTACTCAAAACTATCAGAAGCAAGTCAATTGGCAAGTGAAGATTAGTTGAACTCTCATTATTTACGAACCTCTCTAATTCTAGCGAGGATTTGGTAGAAGTTTGTGTTAGAGAATGCCCTGAAAGTGCCACCGAGGCTGACAGTGTCTGGAGTGGAATCAAGCTCACTTCCGGCATTAAAGAAGGTCACTGAAACCACCTGAGGATAAAAAGGTGCGAACAAATCAATGATGTTTCTTCCCTGATGGAAACGGCAGTAAAGAACACTCAACAATGAGGATTATCTAGACAATTCATTCCCGTCCCAAAAATAACGGTCCAGGTTGTTGTACTGGTTTAATTCAACAAACAGGACTTCTTGGTGGAATGACAGATTCAAGCATCAAACAAAAAAGAACGTACTTTAATTATAGCTTCATTTATTGAGCAAATTTACCTGGGAATCCAGAGGATTTGATTCGCGGGAAACAATGCCTTGTAAACTGATAACTGCAGCTGAGGCTGCAAGTACAGGATCAACAGAACGTTGGTGAATGCCAATTAGGCCCTCTTTCCGGCTGATTGTTGCTCGGAAGAAGCCACACCCTGCAAGAAGGGGACCGGGTCTTGAGGCAATTGTGCCCGTGTTGTGGAGATGTGACACGTGAACACCAAATATGGCTTCAACATCTTCAATAGCCCCAGCTTGTATCATTCTTTTTGCTCCATTCCCAGCTTCCTCAGCAGGTTGAAAAATCAGTACCACAGTTCCCTGTGTAGCATTAGGCCATAAGTAGATATAATTAGTATTAGTGATTGTTCTCTCTGATACAGTAACAAATGCTAGTTATCCGGTTTGGGGGTAAAATCTTTTCAATTTTTACCTTTTAAATATCACAAAATATCATGGATTTGATGAGTTCAGGGTTCCAAGTTTAAGGAAAATGGTACAGCCACTAGTTTCTGATGTAGCAGTTGCAAAACTGTTTTTGATAAATTTAAGAATAACAACCACAAAGAAGCAAAAGCAGAATATGACAATTTTCATTATGAAAACAACTTAACAATGAAAAAAGAAATGAAAGCTAAATACTCAATAACATGTCAAAATGCAAAAGAGGTAGCTTTCCATTTTTCGACGAGATTAAGGTATTCTGTACAACCTTAGAAGAGACACAAAGTCAACAAACCTATTAAAACCTCATACTTCCATTTCTCTTATCTTCTCTGTTCTAAATTCCAATCATGCTTAACCTTTCATAGGGATCTGATATGAATGAAAAGTTTGCCGACAATAAGTGGTTCCTACTGCTACAAGGAACTATTCAAGTTGCATGGTCCTTTCACAAATATTCCTAAACATCAGCAATGCCCTACACTGTACCCTATTCAACCTTGGACAAAACGAACCCTTAAAAGACCATAAAATGTATCACAGATTTTCAGTACACGTTTGAATTCAAGATTTTTGGATGCACCGCCGACATGGGTTTTGAATCAATCTGAACTAATTCGAGTTCATAAGCTGAAATATGTACAGTGGTGGCTAATTATTTGACCAAATTAGGAGAGGCATCCATGGTTTCTGTCTTAATGTGCATTTAATTAAAGTCAATCTCTATATTAGGAGAGTTCATCAGTGATAAATAATTACTAAAACATTAGTCACACGGGCTAAAAAAGAGGGCAAATCTGTGTCATCAAATAAGTCAAAGATTTGTAGCCCAAAAATGAAGAAGATTATCTGCAAATCTGCAGAGGAGGGGAAAAAAGCTTCAATTTATCATAATCTTCTTGATGCACTTTCCAAGATAGTTTCAACTTTTAAAACCCCAACAACATTTATCATGTTCTTGAAACTCGCATCTACCGTCAACTTTTACATTAAAAAGAAAAAAAAAGCTCAAAGAGGGGGACCAAAAAACTAGAATCTGTAAAACATTGAATGAGAATTGAAAAGGAAACATGTGATCTCCCAAATCAATTAAAAGGCCAGCTCTTTAAATTCCATTACCTTCAAGTGATTTTCTCGTGCCTTCAGAATCTTCGCGGCGCCCATAAGCATGGCAACATGGGCATCATGTCCACAGGCGTGCATCTTTCCAGCATTCCTGCTCTTGTGTTTCCATTCAACATTTTCCTTTTTGAATCCAACAAGGAAAAAAGAACAAAAACCCCCAAAAGGGACCCAAACAAAAAAAAAAAAAAAAGAAAAAGGAAAAACAGAGTCACTAAACAAAAAAAAATTATGAGTGATGGGTCATGATCAGATCAGAATCTTAGAGAAGCAGCCAAAACAAATGGCGCTTTTTTGAAGAAAAAAAATCATACGGTATTAGGTGCTGGTTTCCGTGTGTTTTGGTCAAAAGACATGTGGCTGATTAAAATAAAGTGTAAAACTCTGGAACCACACCATATAATATATTATTCAATCACAGGGAGAAAAAGGAAAAAAATGAAAAAAAAAAAGGGGAAATGGGAAAAAACCTGGATTGGAAGAGCATCCATATCTGCCCGGAGACCAACAAACGGAGGTCCACCAGTACCAATCATGGCTCTAATCCCAGTTTTAGCAAAAGGGTACTTGAAATTGATCTCCATTCTCTGCAATTCTTCACGAATGAGTCTACTGGTTTCGTGTTCTTCGAAAGCAAGTTCTGGGTTCTCATGGATTCTTCTCCTGATTGACTTAATCCACTCAACATTTTCCGGCCTTTTAGCCATCTTCAACAGTTGTTCAGAGCAGGCTTTAGTCCAAAGTGTACAATCCATTCTTGACTGTACGGATCGCTGCTGCTTCATCTGCATCTGCCTCTGCCTTGTTTCATTCCTGAATTTAATCATCTCTGCAAAAGTGGGATTATCAAAACAACAGGGCCTGATTATGGTGGTGGTGGTGGTTGAATCGAAATATGACAAGTCATGATGATGCTGATGATGATGATCATAAGAACTTTTTGAAGTCCCGATTGCTGCAGCAGATACAGAAACAGAGAAGAAGAAGAAGAAGAAGATGATGATTTTAAACATGATTGAAAGTGGAAGATTAATTAATCTGAACATCTTCACAGCAAACGAGAAAGAATTGAATTTTTTTTTTGCTTTTGGAAGAAAGAGAACTGAAAAGGAAGAAGAAAGTTGAATAGTTATTGTTTTAAACAGAATATAGAGGAGAAGAAGAAAAAATCAGGGGAAAATTCATTTTTGAAAGATAAAAAGAGAATATAAAAAAACACGTGGGATAAAAGGGGGAAGAAAAGAAAGACTCTTCCAATTTGCCCATATTCAGTCACATGTTCTAATTTGTTTTCGTGACAAAGACAGGTTTTGTTCTCTGTTTGGAGGCGTAGAATTGGAAAAGAGAGGACGAGAGGCCCCAGCGTTATTATGTTAGAAGAATTTGTCAAAGACTGAGTCACTCAGCGGAAACATTACCCAAAAATTTTAATTCATTACCGTAATTTGTCCAGACTGTTTAAAGTTTTACCTGATTTGTTCAGTAAATTTTTGTAAAATTTAAACGAGATTTCATTGAATTTTTAATTTTGATAAAAAATTAATCTAACTCCCCAATAGTTTGAAAAATGTAAATTAGTCCAAAAATATTTAAAAACAACAAAACAATCCCTTTTTCCCTTCTTTTCTATTTCATTCCTGTTATCTGTTTTTTTACTTTTTTCAGAACCATAAACATATACTAAATGATTTGCAGTGAGACATTTATTTATTTTAGACTCTATTATGCAAATTAATTTATGTATAATTAAAAACAAGAAAAAATTTGATGAGTTATATGAAAAATCTGATTTTTGAATTGACGGAATAACAAAACAATTTCAGAAAAAAGATCATTTTGATAGTATAAAAAACATTAAAATTGAATGAGATATCTTTATTTGTACAACATAAGCAACTCTCTTACCAATCTCATTAAACATTATCGGATTACACGCATATGTATTCAAAAATCATGTCGACCCTGCATTGCACATAAGGAAAATGTCAGTAAGTAACAATATATTTCAACTGGTTATTTATTAAATAATTTATTGGACAAAAGAAGAAATGCAAAGACACAATAAAGCATATTTACTTATGAAGAAAAAGATTGTGATTATGAATGTCCACCACGCTAATATATATATATATATATATATATATATATTGCATTTAGAATTTGATTTATAACTAAACTCTTAACAAATTTTAATTAACAAATTACGTATAAATTAAAAGATAATAACAGATAAGATCTTCTTTAACAAATTATATTCACATATCTTTTGGGTAAGTCTTAACCACTGCCAGTGTATCTTTTTTCGATTATTAATAAAATCGGCCAATGCCTGCCAGCTACCGTCATGGTTCTCTTAAGAAAAAATATGGTTTAATATTTTTATTTTGGTTAAAGAACAAAAACTATAAATACTTTCTTAACAAACTGTATCTAGATTAAGAAAATTCAGATAAAATTTAGTTAACAAACTATATAGTCATTTTGTTTCTTTTATTTTTTAAAATTAATTCTTAACAAATTATCTTAACAAACTATAAATAAATTAAAAAACTAATAATATTTTTTTTCAAACTATCTTCACATATGTTTTTAAAATACATGGCTCAAGTTTTTCTTATTTTGGTTAAAATAACAAATTATAGATACTATCTTAACAAACTCTGCCTAAATTAAAAAAAAAGTCTAGAGAAGATCATGCTTATCAAATTATATTATTGTTCATTAACTCTTCTCTCTCTTGCGACCAAGCCCTTCCGTCGTCTAACTCTCATTTTTTCCGGCCACTATGGCCGGAGAAAACACTGGGGCAGCCCCCACTGGGCTTCCTCCTACTTTTGCTAGCCTTTTCTAGAAACAATTGACCGAAAAATCTCCAAAAGGATCGCTTATTAAGCCTGTAACTTTCGTGAATGGCACCGCCGTTCTTGAGTATGAAGATGAAGAATATGACCGCCTTATTGCTACGCATCAATTGAGTCTTGTAGGGAAATTCTCCTATGGCCGTCCAAAAATGGAGGAGATCCATAAGGAATTTAAAAAAATTGGTTTTCATAGCAATTACACTCTAGGGTTAATGAACCCTAGACATGTCCTCATAAGGTTTGAGCGGGAGGATGATTATCAGCATTGTTGGATGATGACTTTCTGGAACATCTCTGGATTCTCGATGCAGATTTTGAAATGGAAGCCTGGCTTCAAGTTTGAAGAAGACCCCCCCCCCCCCAATTGTTCCTTTATGGGTATGCCTTCATGATCTTCCGATTGAATTTCTCAATCCGGAAGTGATATTCTCCATGGCCATGGCAATTGTCAAGCCTCTTAAGGTTGATGCTCTGACTTTGAATCTCACGAGGCCATCAGTCACGAGATTTTGTGTAGAAGTTGATCTAACAAAGGAATTTCCCAAGTCAGTGAAGGTGGGAAAGAAAGGGAAAAAGCATGTGCAATTCTTTACGTACGAACATGTTCCGGCATATTGCTCCAAATGTAGTAAGATTGGTCACAAGGCAGTGGACTGTAAAAAGGGTCTTGCAAAGCAGCCTTTTGATTCAATAAAATTAAAAGGTTTGACCAAGGTTTCGCAGCCGGCAAAGAAATATGAAGGTTCGAAGTTGCAGCCATCAGCGCAACTTGAGAACCCTATGCCGCAGCCTAGGGTTTCTTCTGTTGAAAAGAATGTTGGATTGTCTTCCGGCTTGTCAGCCACTGAGAAGGTTGATGTACTATGGATGTTCAGGATTCCCCTCCCAAAGCCCCCGCTAAAGTGATCCAAGCAGAAGATGCTCAAGCTTTCAAAGGAAACGATGCGGTGATAGTTCCAAAGGAAACGATTGTGAGCTCTAATCGTTTCTCTATGCTGGAAACAATTACTGAGGAGGATATGGATAAGCAAGATGATGAGGAAGAAGGCCATGTTGAGAATGTTTTTGAGGAAGATCCAGTGCCCATTAATACTGAGTTGGCTGATACTCGATCAGAAAACCCTAATATTCAGAGTACGGATGATCTTCAACAAGCTATTTTGTTGTTGGACAGTGACAAGGCTCTCTCTCCTTGGGTGTCTTTTGATGATGGTGTGATAGGTAAGACGGTAGATGGTATGAGGATGATGCTGAGGATGGTAGTTGGTCTGAAGGCGATGCAGATGCGCATGAATCACAGCAAGAGGTTGATTCGGTTGCAAAAAAGAAAAGGGGTAGAAAGACAAAGGCAGAGAACGCTGAACTTTAGAAGGGTTTGACCTTGCGAAGGTCGCCCAGGTTACAGTAATTTTTCTCATCATCATTGTTTCCATGATTAGTCAGCTTATTTGGAATATACGTGGAATAAAGAATCAAGCTTCTCAAAGTCGCTTGAAAATGTTATTAAGGATTCATAATGTCTCTGTTTTGGTGATCTTAGAGCTGATGCTCCAAGATTGCAAGATGGAGGGGATATGAAGGGAGCTGGGGTTTGAAGTTGCTTATTCCTCGCCGACGAGCAAAATATGGGTTTTCTGTAGATCAACTTTCTCGATTTCTTTGCTTGAGCAACATGATCAGGTACTTCACTTTGAGGTATCTCATATTTTTGTTCCTAATAAATTTTATTTTTCGGCAGTATATGCCAAATCCAATAAGCTTGAGAGGCGCGCCTTGTAGAGGAGTATGGTTGAGGTCCGACTGCGTTTTGATTCTCTTCTGTGGACAATCAGTGGCGATTTTAATGTTATTAGGGGGCTGGAAGAGTACTCTGGTACATCTGTCCAAGATCTTAATGTAATAATGGAGTTTAATGAGAGCATTGAGGAATGCAGATTAATGGAATTGACGACTGTAGGCGAGGAATTTACATGGGGGGGAGGGAACTCAAAGCTCGAGCTGGGTTTGTAAGAAACTTGATCGAGTTTTGTTCTCGAAGGAATGGCTTGATTATTTTCCAGCTTCTTCAGTGGAAAATTTGAATCGCACTACCTCTGATAATTGTCCAATGTTGCTCTTATTTGCTCCCAATGTCAAAAGTAAAACTAAGGTTTTCAGATTTCGGAAAATGTGGTTGCGGAGGAACGATTTTCTTGCTGTGGTGAAGGAATGTTTGGACCAGCCAATGCAGCAAGCCGGAATGATTGGCTTCTCATTGAAGCTTCGACGGTTGAAGGTCAAGTTGAAAGAATGGAACAAGGATGTTTTCGGCGATGTATTTGCAAACTTGAAGTTGGCTGAGGAAAGTGTGCTGTGTTTGGAGGGAATCTACGATTCTACGGGCTTGGAACAAGATAGAATTAATTTGTCTATGGCAAAGGCACATTTGCTTCAAAAGTTAAAGGAGCATGATGACTTTTGATCTCAAAAAATGAATATTAATCGGCTAAAGGAAGGCGATGCGAATACATCCTTCTTCCATGCAAGTTTGAAGGAAAGGCGTTTGCATCAAGGTTTATTCAAAATCCAGGCGGTTGATGGAGGGACTTTGACTAATATGGTTGATATTGAGAATGAGGCAGTAAGGTTCTTTCAAGATCTTTTGCAGGATAATACCAAGGAGCTAGACATTGATGATGCACAGGAGGTCTTCATGAAGCATATTTCAGCCCTCCTTGATGAGGAAGATAGTCGGCTTTTATTGCGGCCTATTCTACTTCAAGAGTTATGGGATGCAGTCTTTTGCTTAAAGGAGGATGCAGATGGTTTTGGTGGAACATTCTATCGAAATTGTTTGGATATACTAGCTGCAGATCTTTTGAATGCTGCGCAGGAATTTATGCTTGGAGTTCCCCTTCCAAGGTCTGTTGCAAGCACTCTCATCACTTTAATACCGAAGAAGATTTCAGTTGCTACATTTTCGGATTACAGGCCAATCAGCCTTTGTAATTTCGCGAACAAAATCTTCACCAAAATGTTAACATAGAGGCTAAAATTGTCTTTCCAAAGCTTATTTCGGATGAGCAATCGGCTTTTTTGGCTGGGAGAGATATAATCGATAATGTCATGCTAGCACAAGATCTATGTCAATTCCTAGATCAAAAGGCTGAAGGCAACAATTTTGTCCTTAAATTGGATATGATGAAGGCATTTGATAGGGTTCAGTGGAGTTTTTTGGAAAAGGTTCTATGCAAGGTTGGTTTTCCAGCTTTGTTTGTGCGGTTAATCATGAATAACCTCAGTAATAGTTGGTTTTCCGTGTTAATCAATGGAAGTCCGGTGGGGTTTTTTCCATCCTCTACAGGAATCAAGCAAGGGGATCCTCTTTCCCCTTATTCATTTTGGTTTTTGAGGCTATGACAAGACAACTTAATTATCTTGTTGAATCTGAGCTGGTGGCTTATTATGGAGCTCCTCGTGGATCGCTTGTTATCTCTCACCTCGCTTTTGCAGATGATTTAATCATCTTTTCAAGGGGGCTGAAAAGATCGCTAAGGGAGCTCAATGCATTCTTTAATGTATATGAGAAAGCTTCTGGTCAGAAAACAAATCGTCAAAAAAAGCTCTTTTATGGTGGCTGGAAATTGTACTCCGAGAAGGATTGGTAT